ATGCGGCAACTTGGGTCTCGAAGTGCTGAACTACTGACCTTCCATAGCCTGCAGTTCAGCGTCTTAACCACTTGAGCCACCGCAGCTCCTATGCAGTGTAGAGGCTATAATAAAATCTGACAATCAAAGAAAGTGAAAGTGACATGCAATGTAGAGGGGAATTTCTGTTCCAGCGTGGGTTTGGTAAAAGAGTGGAGCGAATGCTAGATGCAGAATGGTCTCTCTCCTGGAGTTAGCAGTACAGTCAGTATATTGTCATCTTCCTTTGGCATCTAAACAGTGGTGATGCTTCCTAAAGCAAGTTCAAGAAGTAGGGATGTCTTCAAGGGGAGAATGATAAGAGAGCCCCTGACTTCCGACATCTCTGACTAGTTGCAAGGGCTTTGCTTGTCTTCTGAGTTTTTGGTTCCCATATGCTGTACCAAAGCACTTCTAGTCAGTTGCCCTTTCCACTTCCTGTCTCCCACATTAGTATTCAGATCATTAAAGAAATGGTTGTGCAGCCACATCTGTTGAAAGCAAAGTAGGGTTGCGGTCACACGCACGAGATAATGCGGGGGGGGGGGAAAGCGAGGCTATTTACCCCGGAGGAAATTGACCCGCAGTTGCGTGATCACACAGTTCTTTGAAGCTACGGGCACAGCCCACCACTGCGTAATCAGACGCAATCACAGGTGAGTTGGGGGTGTGTGTTGCCGTTTGTTTCCGATTCGCTTAAACGGGGGATCAATGAATCGCATCTCCACACTAAGGGCTTCCTATGGCATACTGAGAAGGGGGAAAAACAATGGCATGGAATCGGGATGGCCTGATCAGACCATCCTGATGCCTGAGAGCACGCTGGAGCAATTACACAGTGAAAGTCCATCTGTGGCCTGTAGCAAACCTGTTTGCTACTGCACTTTCCCAGGTGTCTTTTAACTCCGCTTCTGTGGCGGAGCAAAATGGCTTGCTGATGGTTGCGGGATGCTTAGCAGATGTTCTCGTAGGATTGTGCCCTTAAAATCCGCCCGGCATTCGCGCCTATGGCACGGCTAATTCTGCATGTGATCACGCCCTAGGCCTTCTTTAGGCTTAGTGCAAACAGTGTATGCATACTTCTGAAGCACAGGTGTCACCAAACAATGACTTGTAAGTAGTGATTTTTTTAAAAAAAAGATGGCTGGCTTTAAAACAAAAAAAGCATTATAATTGTGCTCTTTTATATTATTGTGCCCAATTTTCTGTTTCAGAATGGGTCCCTTTGAACTGTATTTACATTTTAAAATCTTAATAACATCAAATTAGATCAGCATCAGCTATTATGAGGCTTGTAAACTGTGTTGTGCTGCACCTGTGTCAGGAAAAGAGAACATTTGTCGAAATAATATTGCCATTTGAAAATGTTTCCTTAGTTTTCTGTAATAGCCATAATTTAATCCTTGGCATGGGAATACGTTTCCCCCCCTACTAAGATGTTTTAAGAAAGGGAACCATGGAAATTAAATTCAATGGAAGGATGCCAAGAGGCAGAAAAGTAGGTTTGGCTGGCTGTGACATCTCCAATTAAAGTAGGCTTGAGTGGTATGTACTGAGCAGAGTTCTTTCTTTATTTAAAAATATGTATCTAGTATTGGAATAATTACCGAAATAAACTTGACCCTCCAAGTCCTGCTCCTATTTGGCATTCAGAGCCAAATGCATCAGGAGGAAACAAGAGTCCCACCAAGCCCGAATAACTGGTTCTCTAATGCTTGCACTTCACAGAGTGGAAAAATATTCCTTCTTATTCCTAGTTGCCAATCAAAAAGTGCCCTAAAGGATTAATAGTGATTATATTAAATTGTACCTAGCCAAAATCATTTTCATACTGCCAAACTCCCATCAGTGTTTAATTAAGTAGTACCAGAATCTTTGCTTTGCCTGCTTGTTTTCAGAAGGAGAGAGGTTTGTAAACAACATAAGTGAGGCCCAGACACTTAGAACATGGAGTGTAAATTGCAGTGCCTCTGCCCATCCAGTTGTAAAGACTGAGGGAGATTCTGCATCTAGCATTCACTCCACAATTTCTCAACTGGGAGGAAAAAACACATTGGAATACCTTGGGGCAATGCCATACTGACTACAAAGTCACCTCTGCACGGCCATAAAATGGCCATAAATCAATGCAGAAGGTACCATAAAATCCAATGATCAAAGAAAATGAAAGCGGCATGATGAACAAACGAAGTGAAAGCAGCATGCAATGCAGAGGGGAATTTCTGTTCCATCGTGGGTTTCGTAAAACAGTGGAGAGAAAAGCCAATGCAGAATCAGCCTGAGGCACATAACTTGTTTTGCTTTGGGGTTGATAAGGAAAGAGAGAGAGAAAGTTAATAGTTATGTTTAAGAGATGAGTAAGAGAGAGAGAATGCTCAGAGTTGGCTGAAGCATCATGGGGTGCAGGATCTCACCTCTGGGGATCTGACAGAGTTGCAGATATGCTGTCCTATAAGAAATATACTGACTCCACCTGTGCTTAACTTAATATATGCAAATATAGCAGGCAAACTTTACAAAAACACTGGCTGATTTCGCACTAGAGCTGCCTCGATGTTGCGCCGCCGTTTGCCCCGATACTATTGGTCAATTTCACACCCGAAGCTGCGGGGCTGCATTTTGACTCGCGGCTTCGCCCGATTTCCCCCGCAGTGTCGTAATCCTGTTTTTTGAGGATCACAACATCGAGGCAGCTCTAGTGCGAAATCAGCCACTATCAATTTCCAGTGCTTTCCTCTCTAAAGGAAACCAACCCCTGGTATGGTGTTGCTTCTAGAACTTTTCACTGCTCAGAAAAGTGGGGAGCCGTATTACACTGTTGTTAGTGGCGGGATAGTGTTTTGTTGTGCAGCTGTGACTGAACCAGAACAGATAGCACTGCTGCAAGAAAGCCAGCATTTTTTGAGGAAATGAGGGAAGCGGTCCTTGTGGAAGATAATGCATCTCAACAGGAAGCCAAGCTGCAGTGTGGGTGCTTGGGAGTGAGTGAGAAGATGAAGGAGGTAGATGAGCAGCTGATGGGCTTGTCCTGTGGGCTACACCAGGAGAAAAGCTGGACATGTGCAGCTCACAGGAAGATCAGACATAGGGGTGAATTATGGGCTCCCTGTAGGGATTTTAAAGGTAGTAAAAATGTTGTAATGCTTGGAGGAGTTGTATAATTTTATGAGATTTACCAATATGTTAACTGTTGCTATATCAGCCAGACACTAATGAATGACATAGAACAACGTAAGGCCACAAAAGTCCTTCAGACCCTTTATATTCCCTATTCCAAGTCAGTGCTGATCTGACCTGCCTCTGTTGATGATTCACATAATACCTGGTGTTCTGAGGGGAAAGCTTTGGTGGGGTAGTTATGGTAGAGAGACCGATAAGCTTTATGTTTGTTAAAACTCTTGGCAAAAAAGACACAAGCCTGCAAACTCTATAGCCCCATTAATTCCAGTACAAATTCTTTCCCTGGGTGTGTAATGGGCCATATCAATTCTACTGGCAATCATTCCTTTTTATTTTATTTTTGTTTTCAATAACAAGATAATGATATATAAGAGATACAAAAATAAAAGAAGGGTTATATAATAATGTATAAGGCATACAAAAAGATACATTATGGGGCTTATAAAACAAAAAATAATTCTCAACTCCCCCTCATTATAATATTTTAGACACTTAAAACATTTTGAATTCCAGATTTCATAACTAATCTGTTTTACAACTATATTATTAATTTCATCATTGCTACATATTCTGTGTTAAATATTCCATCATTTCTACTTACTAATTATTGTTTTTAATATACCAAAATTTAAAGAAAAAATTATTATATATTTCACGGTAAACAATATATATAAAGAATATAGGAGCTGCGGTGGCTCAAGTGGTTAAGACGCTGAACTGCAGGCTGTGGAAGGTCAGTAGTTCAGCAGTTCGAGACCCGAGTTGCCACATGACGGAGTGAGCTCCCGTCTCTAGTTCCAGCTCCTGCCAACCTAGCAGTTCGAAAGCAAGAAATTGCAAGTAGATAAATAGGTACCACTTCGGTGGGAAGGTAACAGCGTTCCGTGCGCCTTGGTGTTTAGTCACGCTGGCCACATGACCACGGAAATGTCTTCGGACAGTGCTGGCTCTTCGGCTTTGAAACGGAGATGAGCACCGCAACCCTAGAGTCGGACTCGACTGGCTTTCGAGCAAGGAAACCTTTACCTTTTAAAGAATACATCTCATAATAAAGAATTATATAATTATATATTAAACATTTCACAGTAAAGAATCAAGGGTATTTTTGTTCAAAGATCAATTCCTTATGCTTTCATATTCAAAGCTTATTCTCATTCTGCTTCTACATTATAATGCATTTATATGCATTGACATACATTTATATTGTTTCTCAGGGGTCATTTGGGGGGGGACGCGGGGGGACGCCATCCCCCCGGGTGAGGTGCGAGAGGGCGGGGCCTGGAGCTCCCTGCTAGTGCCCGCTGGAGGTCGCCGCCGGCTGTAGGGAGGACACACTTCCGGTGATGTCAGGGGGTGTGGCATATGCTAATGAGTTATGCTAATGAGTCCCCCTAGCTCTTTTTCTACAAAATGACCCCTGTTGTTTCTCATTCTAAACTTTTTCTCATACTAGGTTTGTCTCATGCTTACATAATAAACATTCCATCTATACTCAAATTTAAAAATTGATCTGTTTTTCAGAGAAGCTGTTAGTTTTGCCATTACTGCATAATCAGCAAGTTTATTTGCCCATTCTTCTAAGCTTGGACAGATGTCTCATTTCCATTTTGCTGCGTAGATTATTCTAGCTGCTGTTACTGTATATTCATATGACTCTTCCAATACTTTTGGTAATGTATTATACTGGCAATTATTCCTGATGCCACTAGTCTTCCCGCAGATGATTTATGCTATGAAGCAGTTGTTTGTTTCCTCTATCATACACTGTGTAAATAATTTCATTGCTTCGGTTTGTATTTCAGGATCTAAACAGCACTCTAACGGCCAAGCAGAATCTTGAAAAAGAGATCAGAAGCCTCCAAGAGAGGCTGGTTGTGAGCCAGAGGGCTTGGGAAGCCTTGCAGGAAGAACTGAGCTACCTAAAGAGATGTTTTAGTAAACAAGAAGAGAGCCTGAAAAGCTGCACAGAGGAGGCTAGGGCAGGAAAAAATCTGCACGATGCATTTAAAGAGAAAATAATTACTCTGTTCCAGAGCAAATGTAACACAGTCAGTCCATCTGACGAGGACATTGTGGAGACAATTCGTGAAATGTGCCATGCAGAAGAGAGCAACAAAACAGTATGTGAACATCTATTATTGTCTATTATAAGTATTCAACATGGGTAATTTTCTGCTGCTTCTTGTGAACTAAAAACCTTAACGCCATTCGGTGGCCTTTTTATCTATATTCCATTAGCCCCCCCCCCAATTTTCAGTTTAAGACCGACAGCATCTTTAGTCATCACTTGAGAAAGTAGAGTGCATAGCTATCTCCCAGGTGATCTTGGTGGTGAAGAGTCAGATGTTTCCACACCCATGTGACCATGGAGAAAGGACTTCAGGTATTAACCACACTTCTACTAAGAGAATATGCTATGAATCCTTCATCTTCTCTGCTAAGCATAATTTGATTGCATAGTTAACAGCATAGAGTCTCCATCACTTGGCTGTCACTTTGCCACCTTTGAAGCAATAGAGTGCTCTTGTTAAGACATTGGAAAAAGGGAGTCTGTTGGGTATTTTGAATCCAATAGGGTTTTAATGGTTACAAGTTCAGTATTTGGAGTTCAGGAAACACAATGTGAAGGTTATGTTAAAGCAGCAGTCCCCAGCATGGCACTTATGACAGCTGCTGGCACCTTTCCTGGTGCCCACCAAGTGTGTTTTTTTTTTTAAATGAGTGGGACTTCTTGCATTTTTGATGCTTATGGTATATTGCAGACAGTGTGTTTATATCAAGTACTTTGTGTGCATATAGCAGAGTAATATTCTAAAACTAGAGTGGGATTTGATTCTGAGTAAGTATGATCAGCCTGCCCAGCTAAAATGCTTAATGCAGCTAACTGAAACGTCTATTGAAGTCATCAGATCTTCCCAGTTGTAATGTATTCTGTCAGTAGTCTTCCACCTCCTGGCCACCTCAGGCTTACTGTACTTGCCAGGAGATGCTTTGGTGCTGAAATGGTCATTCTAGTGCTTTGGAAGACTAATCCTTGCATTTTAAGAGCACGCATTTCCCCCCTTCTATTCTTAGTTCCTGGAAGAGCAGAATAGGAGGAGCAAAAGAACAGGGAAGTAGAGGATTTACAGTGTAATCCTAAAGAGAGTTACTCCAATCAAAGCCCATTGAAATGAATAGCCGTCAGCTGGTGTCGCATGGTACAGATTCCATTTCCCTTATATTAGGGGAGCCGGGCATCATTTTCTGTTGCAAGGAAGGAAATCTAAATATATGATGGGGAGAAGGTGACTGGGTTGCATGCAGGTAGTCACGGTGATGTGGAGTGAGGGGATAATATGGAAATAGCAGTGGTAAAATGATAGGGAAAAGATGACTTGTGAATGAAAGACTAGTGGCAAGTTTTCTTAGTCTGGACTCTTTTTGAGGATTGCAAGTCCAGTTTTAAACATTTAGGCAGCAACATATTTGTTGTCAAAAATCCCTTCTCCTCTGGCCTCTCAGTTACATGATGGTTCTGGTATGCAAGTTGTAAGGCTGAGGGATTTGATATGCAACATTTTTCTTTGGCACTGTGCATTTAGTTTATAGAGGCTCAGAACGTACATGCATGAATTACAGGGTTAAATGTTTACAGCCTCGCTCAAAGTTTCCCGGTGTATGTAAAATCCTTGCCAGATTTCAGGTTCCTTGCACCTCCCACTACAAAGCAAGAATAGGTCCTGTTTGTTGTTTTTTATTTGGTTTATTTAAATTGCTTTAAATAAGCATCTTTAATAGTCAAATTAGTTAGTTTTATTATTACGGTCTTAAGACTAGCGTACAATACAAACATAGTATGAAAAAGAAGGCAAAAACAGAGGTAAAATAATCAAAATTAATTTCATACTTGATATCAAAACTTTCAAGCAAAAAGACTCCCTCCTCTTTTCTTGAGTGTTTAATATGTGAAACTTTAGACAAAACAGGCAAGTTATGCATGTTTCAAAAATCCATTGGCTGAGCATTAAAAATTAAAACTCAGAGTGGTTGTTTTTTTCTGTAAGAGTGTCTAGTTCTGTTTCTGCATTGTACACAGCTGCTATCACTCTGTTGTAATTTCACCACAGTGGAATTCAATAATGGAAGAAAATTGCATGTGTTGATGATAAAATTTACTTTGTCAGTGCAATTTATTACCATTGGGAAATCTCTGAGGGAGATTGTGAGACAAGAGATAATTAATTAGAGTGCTGAATTTCACTGAGTGACTTATCACATTTCTCTTATGACTCATTTTTTATGCTGGGTCTTACTGTTTACTGATCTTTGCAGCTTTTGTTGCCTTTGTTATTGTATTTCAAAATTTCACAAAAGTGTAGTCATGGCTTTACCACTAGCTGTTCTCAGTTATTAGTTCACCTGTATTTCAATGCACATAATACCTAGATTATTAAAGCTTTACTTGCCCAAATAATGTATCTAAATTTTAGATCTACACTGCATGTTTACTTAAGGTATTTAACTAATGTATATCCTGCTTTCTCCCTTATTTGGGACTGCAAGATCATTCATAGTTCACTCTTAGTTCCCTTTCACTAAAGGCTTCTCCAGTCACAACTACCTATTCAGCCACCTCCTCTGTCCCCAGCATCCCACCCCTTAGTTGCCAACTGGTCAGTTTTCTACTGCCTTTAAGACTTTTGTAGCATCAGGACTGTACCCAATTTTAAGTTTCATTTTCATGCCAGGCTTTTCTGTGCCTCAAAAGCAGCTCCTCTAAACTCTAGCTTTTCCTGCTGCAGTTTCCACATGTTTCCCTGTTGATATCTCCTCAGCAAGAAAAAGAACTCTGCACCTTAGATGAATTAGTGTTTTCCGTTGACTCTAGCCCTTGGTCCTGCCCTTTACCACCTTGTTCTACCTTTTGACATCTATGTTCTGTCCATGGGCATGTGACCTACTGAGCTTTATTCCTTGAGCTTCATTCTTAACACTCCCCCCCCCCCGGCCACAGTTTCAGCCCATGGGAGGGTAGGTCATGGGCTGGATCCCACCGTTTGCTAGATTTGTGTCTTTCAAAAATTGGCAATTTTACCACTGCTCTGAGTGCAGACCCTCAAGATTGTCTGTTCTCCATTGTAGCTCCAAGAGGCAGCAAAGGCTGGGAGGACAGGATGGCAACAGTTCTCACTGCAGCCTAGATGTTTGAGCTTCTGCTGTTGATTCTTAAAGCTGTGGCCAGTCCAAACTGGAGGGCCCGTTTGGTGTAGTGGTTAAGTGCATGGACTCTAATCTGGGAGAACTGGCTTTGATTCCCCCACTCCTCCATTTGCAGCTGCTGGATGACCTTGGGCAAGCCGTAGTTCTGTCAGAGCTGTTCTTGGAAGAGCAGTTCTTGAAAGAGCGCTCTCAGCCCCACCTACCTCACGGGCAGTGTTCCCTCTAAGCTGAGTCAGTGTGAGCTAGCTCACAGTTTTTTAGCCTCTGGCTCAAACATTTTTGTCTCAGCTCAGGGAGGATGGCTCCAGAGCAAATTAATTTCTGCAGCAGCCAAATCACCTGCTCACAACTTTAATGCCGGTAGCTCACAAAGTAGAATTTTTGCTCACAAGACTCCATGGCTTAGAGGGAGCATTGCTCACAGGGTGTCTGTTGTGGGGAGGGGAAAGGGAAGGAGATTGTAAACTGTTCTGAGACTCCGATTGGAGCAGCTTCTTGTTGAGGAGATATTGAGAAGCTGTATTTAATATTTGGATTTCATTAAAGCTTGGTCATAACTGCATACTGATATTTTATATGAATCAGAGAGAAATTATTTTATTATTCTAATACTTTAGTTAAATGTGGCTCTTCATAATCTCCATATGAGCTGCATTCTCATTACCTCTGTCCCTACAACAAGGTTGCAGTTACCATTCAATTACCTTCATGCATAGTTCTCTGAGTTCACTCAGTGAAATGGAATCTAAAACCAGAACCCACTATATTTTGCAGGCAGACAAAAGCTTTATTGTTAAACTGCCTTTTTAAAGTTTGGATTATAATGTTTTTTAAATCATGGGATGTTAACATCAATAAAGTTTTATTGGGAAATAGTTTATGAAAACACCCACCCTTCTAGAATCATCTGACCTGAAGATTAACTGTCACCACCATTATTTATCAGGGATTGCTGACAGGCACTTCTAAAATGATTTGGTTTTCTGCATGGTTTACTGACAATTAAGTCTTTTCAGATTATCCAAGTGTGCTATAAAAATGTTTATTGTTTGCTAAATAGCTGTCCTTTAAAGACACAGAACAAAACAAAAGCACATTCCTAAACTGAACAATGGAGGTTTGTAGATAGTAGAATGAATCATTTTCTTACTACTTGATCCTAAATTGTGGTTTTAAATGCCAGGACAGAAAACCTTCTAAGTAATCCACTTTCAATCCACTTTCAGTGCACTTTCAAAGTGGATTTTGCCAGTTCACACAGTAAAACTCCAGTTGGAAAGTGCACTGAAAGTGGATTGAAAGTGGATTATTTAGCGTGTGTGGCAGCAGCCTTAATCTGCCTTTCAGTGTAGTGCAAATGTTGGTCTGTCAGAGGGAGATAAACCTGGGACAGATCATACTACAAGAGCTGTCAGAATGGAAGATTTACAGAAAGCATTTTATGGATTATAGTACCCACCAAGTAAAGTAAATCAGATCAACAAAAGCAGACTGGTACCCAGAGCCAGCCTGCTACAAGACAGACCCAAAGAAGAAAACAACTGAAGACCACTGGTTATCATCTATGACTCACAATTTAAGTTACTTTAGTCTATCTTTAGTGATCTACAGCCCCTTCTGGATTAAGTTGGCAAGCCTTTTCTTTTTTACTGGTAACCCCCTAACATAGAACAGCTTCTCACCAGCAACCGTGGACCACCTAGCAGAGACACAGTCCCAGTTGTGAAAACCCCACAACAGACCTAGATGCCAACTCTGTCCACATACACACTCAGGTAATGCTGTTATGGAATCTAATAACACCAGCTATACCACTCGGGACTCATCAACTTGGACATCATTAGAACTCACCAAGAAATTAAACACTGTATGTCATCCTGGTTTAAACAGAGATTTGGATTTCCTTATTATAATTTCT